CGGTCCTGGTGAATGGCCGCTGGTGGTTTTTTGGGTGGTACTGGGGTTTGAACTCAAGCCCTCCAGCTTGCTGGTCCAGTGTTCTTGGGCTTGGGCCTCGCCTCCCGCCCTGTCTCCAGCCATCTTGCACTAGTTTTCTGTGACTCCTAGCCACGCCGGTCATGGTGCTGGGCTGACCCTGACCGATTGCCGTGCGTGGCAGCAGGAAGATGTGCATCACCGGCTCTGTGCCGCGGTGGCTGGGTGGCCGTGGCAGCAGTGGCCCGGCCCCGCCTTCCAGGTGATGGCTCGGGAATCCCCTCATTCCTGTGTCCTCATCCCAGGTTCATGAAAACACCAGACGAAATCATGAGTGGCCGGACGGACCGGCTGGAGCACCTGGAGTCCCAGGAGCTGGATGAGCAGATGTTCCAGGAAGATGACTGCTGAGGGGGCCGAGGCCAGGCCATAGAAGCGACCGCTAACGGGGCCGCCAGGCCCCGGCTGGGCCAGGCCGCCGCCCGCCCCGACCAGAGCTCCGGCACAGTGGCCCGCTGGGCACAGCCAGCAGGGAAAGACCCAGCGTGGCGGGAACGCCTCCGCCTCCAAGCAGGAGGCCCCGGGCACCCCGGTCTCCCCCGGCGGAGGCGGCCCGGCCTCCCGAGGGCAGCCTCGCCTTCCCCGCAGCCTCCGTCTACAACTCCCTGACCCGTCTTCTCCGGTGGTGTTCTTTTTTCTTTCTGGTTTTCATTTTTTAAGAACTTGCGACATGAATTCTCATCGTTCATACAGGGGAAGACATCAGATCTTGTTTTCCTATGGAAATATATATTGATTTTATATATATCTATATATATATTATTTTTGCAAATCTTAGAGTACGGCCAGCTTAGCTGGTCAGAAAAGAGAATACTGCCGGAGGAGTGACTTCCTCCTTCTCCTGCTTGTGGTTTAGGTCTGCCCTGCTGGGACAAAGACCCAGCAAGTCCTGGTGGAGACGGGGAGAGAGGCTTTTAACAAGGATCTCGGGGAAGGAAAAGCCATTTCTCTCTCTGCCTTGCTCTCTCTCTCCTTCCTTCCTGCGTCCTCTCCCCCTCCCCCCTGCTGCTGTACTCTATACCTCTCCACAGAGCTCAGCTCGGTAGAGAATCGTGGAGTTTGTTGTCACCAAAACAGACCAGTGACTCGGATGTCTCATCAGAGGGAGGCGGCAAAGAGAGGCCACCATGGCCTGGGAAGATCAGCGCCCATCTGCGCCTGCCCAGGCTGTGTGGAAGGCCCGGGCCCCAGGCCTTAGCGCACAGAGACCGCAGAGGAGAAATAGAGAAAGACCACACAGGCCTAGCAGTCCAGAAACTGGGCAGAATTTTTCTGAAACAGATTATTCAGGTTAGTGGGAAGAAAAGCCCCTCCAGTTCATTCCAAAGGCTGCCTGGTATCACTTTCCATGGCCTTGTGGATTTTTTCCCCTCCTTACTTCAGTTCCCAGCCTTCTTTAAAGCTTCCTGGGAGCCACTGATCACAGTGTGTCTTGTTGGGGGGAAGGGGGACCCTGGAGTCCATTCCCACTTTGGGGTTTGTCGAGCCGGTGCAGACAGGAAGTTCCCCAGCGGCCTTGCTCTTTGCTCCCACGCATGCTGCACTCCAGAGGGCCATGCGCTCGCTTCTTCCTGTCTGTCGGCGGGCAGCGCCTCCTGCGGCCGGGCATGCAGCAGCTGCAGATCTTTTCTCTTCCCGGCTTCACCGCCTGTGGCTACTCTCCAGGTGAGGTCAGCGAAGCAGTGTGTGGAGCGTCGTCTCTAAATCCAGATCTGCCTTACAGCGCCCCCCTCACCCATCCCCCGCTCCCTCCGTGACACCCCGGGCTCACTTGAGTTCCACGAGCAACGGTTGGCAGAGCCCGGGCTGTGCTCACTGACAGTGGCCACCAGCCCCGCTGCAGGGAGATGCACGGTGGTCCAGAGACTGGACTTGAGCCAACTGGGGTTCTCGAGCCTGCTCTGCCCAGGCTGGCCACCAGACAGGTAGACGCACGTGGCCAGCCCACTCCTGCACCACGTGCTTCCCCGATCCACCCTCAGGAGGACAGGATGCTGCTTTCTGTGTGAAGGGTTTTGGTGATTGTATTCCAGCAGATCCCAGCCTTTCCAGAGTGTTCAGGGAACTGGGCATGGGTATTGGGAGGCAGAGGCAGGAAGATCAAGAGCTCAGGACTAGCTCAGAATAAGTAGATTCGTGCAAAAAAGCAAAAGGGATGGAGACACAGCTCAAGTGTGGTCAGGTGCTTGCCTAGTGCACACAAGGCCTTGGGTTCGACCCCAGAACTGCAGAGAGAGAAAAGTGTTGTGGTGATCCATGTCCAGCCTCTAAGATGGCCAGGGCACCGAGTCACATGGTGGGTAGAGGCCAGGAGCTTCTCCGAGGCCCCTGGACTCAAGAGCAGGCGCCATGCTGTTCTTCCTGCAAGCCAAGGCTCATTCTCGCCCTTCGCCACATAGAAGGCTGGGCCTCTGACACTCAGCACCGCAAGTGCGCTCTGGAGGGACGTCCCTCGCCCGGGAGTTCTGACTTGAAGCATCCTCTGAGGACGTGAGGCTGAGGGCCATCTTCAGGCCCTGTAGAGATGTCCCAGCCCCTCTTCGCTATGGACACCCCTTCGCCCATGCCACCCCCGTGGCACAGGGCCTGCCCTCTGCAGACCCTGACGAGTTCATAGCCACACGCGCCCACCACCCTGAGGGACTGGAGGACGGCCCCTGCGTTTTCCCTACAGGATCCTCTCACTGAGCAGAGAGGGGGCAACACGTCTGCCCCGGACCGCATGGAAGGCGTCAGCCATGGCAATCAGGAGAATGGCGACTCTCAGACTGCAGGCCGGCGCAGGAAGCGGGGCCAAGGCTGCTCTGCGGCCGGGGTCCCTGCCGGCCTCAGCTCCCCTGAGCCAGGGCTGGATCCAGTGGTGCTGGTGGTGGTTGGCAGGCGGGGTGTGCAGAGTGACACCGCTCTCTCAATCTTGACCCCAGACTAGGGAGCCTCCCATAAAGCAGCACCCCTAAAACCCACAACCTTTGAGGGTCCCCACTGGAAAAGAGGAGCCGCGGGCCAGTGGGTTTTTCTTCTTGTAAGAGTACTTTAGAATCCTCGATCCATGCCCTTTACAGCAGCGGCACCCGACGCAGCCCGCCCGGACCCAAGATAAAAGATTCAGGAAGTAGAGGAAAACAAAAGCAATCTCTTTGCCCAAGCATTCGGTGCTAGTTAGACCTGCCGTCCACTCAGCCAGCCGCTCCTCCTCTGACAGAGGCCTGGGGAGGGGCACGGGGCCCCATAATCCCACCCATCTAGCGCCCCCAAGGGCCACCTCCACCCTCAGCCTGTCTGCATCAACGCTGTACCACTGTAAGCCCCTGATCTCACTATGCCGAGAGAACATTCTTGAAGATTTCTCTCCGTGCCCACCGGCAAGCCAGGACGAATCTCAAAGGCTCTTTTGTTCTTTTTTTTTCTTTCTTTTTTTTTTTTTGGTTTAGTTTCTAATCTCTTGTTTATGAGGTGTGGGGTTTATAAGGGACTGAATCAAATGAATGTAACAAAAACAAAAACAAAAAAAATGCCTTTTCTCAGGGCCAGTGAGTTGCAAATAATTTTTAAAGAAAAGCCTATAATTACATCATCTCAATAAATTTTTTATAAAAAAGAAAAAAAGTTCAAGGTCCCAAGTGTCTGTCTAGTGACCAGAAGGCCAGTCCTGGCTCCTCTGAACAGAGATGGGGTCCAGGCTGCTATTGGGCAGCAGCCCTCAGGCCTGAGATGTCAGAACGGGGGGGGGGGACGGGGAGGGACCGGGACCCCAGGCCAGGAGGCCACCACACAGCCGGAATCCGCCCAGCGTTCCACGTCTCATGTCTCAGCCACACCAGCCAGCCCAGAGCTGGAGAAGGAAGATTACATGGGTTTTTAGCAAGCAGTCTGAAACAGAGGGTCTCAGGCGAGACAGTGTCTGAGAACTACTAATGGTCTTCCGCTAGTACGAGAAGTGCACACTGTCGGTGCACCCTTTGTGAACCGGCCCAGAGTGGGAAGCCTGGGGTCCCTAGGTCTGTCTGACATACAAAGGCTGCTGGCCTGCTCAGCCGAGGCACTGATGGAGTGGCGGGTGTAATGATGCTCACAGAGAGAGATAGAAACGCTGTTAGTCTCAACCACGCTTGCCACACACAGGCCCCAGTAAGCAGTCAGCTAGGAAGGTAGGAGCTGCGCCTAAAGGTGATTTGAATGGCAAACAGGCCCTTGCACCTGCTGGGCCCACCTGGTCTGGAAGGAAGAGGCAAGGGTGGGCCTCACCGGCCCTGGCCAGGGACTCCCTGGTCCCAGCTACCAGGGAGGTAGCAAGAGGAGGATGGAGGTCCAGGGTCAGGCCCAGAAGGAAAAAGCTAGGAGTGTCTAATCTGAAAAACAATGACTAATGCAAAAAGGACTGGGGTGTGGCTCAGCAGTAGAGACCAAGGATGAGGCCCTGGGTTCAACTCCAGTACTGCACATAAAGGGAGGAAGGGAGGGCAAGAATGGAAAGGCATCAACCCTAGCAACGTACACACACTGTTGTACACACACTGTCCGGCTGGCACTGGATTTCTGTCAGAGTATAGAATTAGGAGTGGGAAAGTCCATGAGAAAGCCCCAGAGCTGTAGACTCATCCTAACCAACCAACTACCACCTCTTCTGGATGCGTGCACTGGGAACCTAGCCAGCAAAAGCAGCCCCCGTCCAGCACTACTGGGAGACAAGAACCCCTTTCCCAGGCTGGGACCTGGGGTCCGCAAGCTCTCCCCCAGCCCCAGCCTCTTCCTCTAGTAAAATCAGCTCCAGCCAGCCGTTTGCATTGCTCCTTAGGCAAATCAGTCCAGACACACATGTCCGTGCGGCCGTGCCAACCGGCTCCAGCCGGGGCACTGTCCTGTCCCCTGCAGCCTCACTTTCTGATTCCCTGGATGAGGAGAAACAACACGGGAAAATCCAGCAGAGTCAGTGCCCCAAAAAACAAACCATTTGCATTTCAACATCAAGTTGAGTCTGGGTGGAGCCTGTTTAAGTCAAGCAAACATCAGGAGAAGCCCAGTTCTCACCACCCCGTTTGGACATGGTGTCCATGCACACACACAGGGCTATAAACCAGGCCTTTCCTGTGCCAGTGACGACGATCTGGCACCAAAAATCATAGTTTTACAAAGCATGAGGCTGAGCATACACAACGCTACAGTACGGGCTCCGGTGTGCAGCTGTAACCCCTGCTGGCTGAGAGACAAATGACACCGTGGAGTTTTGATTTTTTATTTCTCTCTTTTTTTTTTTTTTGGTCAGTCGTGGGGCCTGAACTCGGGGCCTGGGCACTGTCCCTCAGCTCTTCAGCTCAAGGCAAGCGCTCTACCACTTGAGCCACAGAGCCACTTCCCGGTTTTCTGGTAGTTTATTGGAGATCAGAGTCTCACAGACTTTCCTGCCCGGGCTGGCTTTGAACTGGATCTCAGCCTCCTGAGTAGCTAGGATGACAGACGTGAGCCACTGGCGCCTGGCTAGCACATGCCTTTTTTAAGTTATACGTTTTTGGAAAGGGCTTTTAGCTCTATTATAATTTCTTTTTAGATAGTCATATGTGTTAAGTTTTCATCTTTCAGACGTATGTATTCTCTGAGCCAGATGACCACAGATTTTCTCTAATTCCATATCTTTTATTTATCATCATCATCACTTCTATTATTGGCAGCACTAGGCTTTGAGCTCAGGGCTGGCATTTGCTGGGCATGACCTCTGCCCTCACCCCAGACCTCCATGCCTTTCTGCTTTAGCTTACTCTTGCACTTTCTTTGCTTGGGGCCAGGGCCTGGACTGGAATCCTCCCACCTGGGTAGCTGGAAAAACAGCTGTGCACCACCATGCCCAGACTGTTAGTTGAGACGAGCTCTGGCTAACTCTTGTCCAGGCTGCCCTCCACCCTCCACCTCTGCTGTGGGTATCAATAGTGTCTGGCCCCCATCACCCCACACCTATGATCCATGAATGAGGGAGCAGGTCCGTCACCCCACATACCCATGGCCCGTGAACGAGGGAGCGACATCGCATACAGACTCCTACCTCCAAGTTTGTGCTTTCTTGCTCAGGTCCTGGGCTCCTCGTACGGCACCCGTGGCCTGGCACCGGGGAACCCGCCAGATGGATGTTGGCTGGACTTTGGGTCCAGGGGCGCTGCCCCCCACACACACTTGGAGGGGTGGTGGCCAGGCGTGAGCCCAGGGTCCCCTTATTTTCCACCCAGGCTAGAGGTGTATGAGTCAAAGCTGGGAGACCGCTGTGAGGTGGGATGGGGTGGAGTCCAAGGCCCGGGGTGGCGTCCCTGGGCTCCCAGATTCTAGGAGATCGGGAGGGTTGTAGTTCAAGACCAGCCCAGGCCACAAGTGAGCTGAGACTCCTCCCCCAAGTACAAGCACCGAGCAGGTGTGTGTGGGGGATCCCCCCAGCTGTGATCTCCCAGGCCAGGCAAGGAGGCCCACAGAGCCTGGCCATCCTCCCTTTATGGAGTGAGGGCCAGGACCCCCTCCCTCCACCCCTGCCAGCTCTGCAGGCCCTCACATCTGCTCCAAAGCAAGTGCCAGGCGACTTCGTGATGGATGGATGATAATTGAGCCTCTATCTGAGGGACGAATAATTAAGTTTCTTATTCAATGGAGGCAGAAACCTCTAGCGGCACAGGTGGAGGCCAGCAGTGACCGGAGAGCGCGCATCCTGAACTCAGAGTCATCCCAGAAGTCAGGCTGTCTGCAAGCCCGAGAGGAGTCCCCAGACTCTCACCTTCCCACACAAAGCCAGCAAAACCAGCCGGCGCCCGCAGCTCACGCCTGTCATCCCAGCCACTCAGGAGGCTGAGATCTGAGGATCGAGGTTCAAAGCCAGCCTGGGCAGGAAAGTCCTTGAGACTCTGATCTCCAATGAACCACCAAAAAACTGGAAATGGTGCTGTGGCTCAAGTGGTAGAGCGCCAGCCCTGAGCAAAGAAGTTCAGGGACAGAGCCCAAGTTCAAGCACCAGGACAATAATAATGATAAGAATAGCCAGGCGCCAGTGGCTCACACCTGTAATCCCAGCTAATCAGGAGGCTGAGATCTGAGAATCACAGTTCAAAGCCAACCCTAGGCAGGAAAGTTGTGAAACTCTTACTTTCAGTAAACCACCAAAAAACCGGAAGTGGCGCTGTAGCTCAAGTGTAGAGCACTAGCCTTGAGCTGAAGAGCTGAGGGACAGCACTCAGGCCCAGAGTTCAAGCCCCACAACCGACTAAATAATAATAATAATAAATCAGTAAAATGGGCATGATGGGACTGAGTCACCAGGGAGATGCCACATGCAGCAAATGAGGGAGGAAGGCACAGGAGAGGAATGGACAGGTGGACAGGAGACCCTGAACCCAGGAGTACGGGCAGGTGCTAGAGGGCGGGCCTGGCACTGGTGAGGCCCTGGTCCATCCTCTGCACCGGGAAACATGAGCATTCTCACATTACCAGGATTGGAGTGACGGGAGGGAGGGAGGGTTGAGGAGGGAGGAGGAAGGAGGCATCCCTCTAGCCAGGGACAGGGCTGACCGGGCATGGCCCTGGCTAGTGCTGATGACCACTCCAGCCCTGGCGGGGGAAGCGGCCCCAGGGCCTTGCCACTGCTGGGAACCTCCAAACCCACAGCGTCGACATTCTCCAGAACGCAAGGCCAACAGAGATCTGCGGGAAGGTGGCAGGTTTGAGACCAGCTAGGGCCACACGCAGGGTCCTGCAGGGGTGGGAGCCGAGAGGGGTGCTCCAAGCCTGCCTCAGCCAATCATGAGCCAGAGACACACATCTTGCCAGAATTAACCAGGCTGTGGTCCCGGACGCCCAGCCCCACGCAGAGGAAAACAGCTGTGGCTCTGGGGGCTCTAATTACAGCCCCATCCCCTCCCCCCCCCCCCCCCCCCGTCCCCCTCCCCCCAACCCTCCCCCCCACCAGCCCCTCCTTCCTGCGGCTGCTTTGTTAAGGGAGAGGCTCTGTGCGTCCATCTTGAAGCTGAGCTTCAGGACAGGTCCAGGATGGAAGCATCGCCGCCCACTCTGCAGAAGACGGCGGCGAGG